GGGGGGGGGGGGGGGTCACCGTAAGACTCAGCAAATAATCTGACCAACCAATAAGAGAAAACAGGCAGGACACACGCTTCTTTGCATGGAGTCGCTCGGCACCCGAAAAAGAGGGGAGTTATTTTCCATACATCTAGTGCCATACCGATAATGACATAAACAGCCTGGCCCGACATGGCCGACTAGAATGCCTGCACAACACACCCAAGCACACGAGACCGAAAGTTCATCGGGTGGCTTGAGGATGCGGACGTTGAACGAACACACAGCACCAATTAACCACGCGCCACACGGACAGCATCCAAAGCGGGATTGTCCACATGACTGGCAGCCTCGCCAGAGGCACAAGTGACCCCCTCAACAGCAACTACACACCTCAATACCAAGTGCCTTAAGGATGATGCAGTTTTGGCAACTGCTGTACACACCAAGCGGCAAATCCCTCGCAACACATCAAGAACCACCAGACACACGGGAGCAGCTTTTAGGCTTGTGCTCGGTGGGCGATGGTCGTGTATTCTTTTTTGTCGATTTGGGTTACTATACCGAGCTAGTGTGTATCTAAATCGCGAAGAGAAAAAAAACACTACCGAGCATATACCTACTGTAGTAGCGTTCCAAAGCCTTTGATTTTGTCGATGTGGGTTAAACTGAAAATGGACTGGAAAAAAGTTAGTGAATCAAAATCGCAAATAAAAATATCTCCTAGCGAGCAGCTTTCTTACCTCAATTCCAAGGCAGCCTGCTGTTGATCCGTCGTCGGCAACGCCTCGTCCAGCACCGACCGCGATCTCACGTAGACCGTTCCTAGGGCCGCGCTTCCGTCTCTCCCTCTTCCCCGCACCCCTCCCCCACTTCCGCTTCCGCTTCCTCCGCCGATGAGCCCGTCCCCAGACCCCCCACTCCTGCCCCTGTACCCCACCGGCCCTCCGAACTCGGTTCCTCTAAGCCGGCTGTCTTCGCTCTCCAGCGACGCCGACCGGGTCAGCTTCTTGCGGAGGAGGGTGAAGGAGGAGCGGGATGACCCGTTGGCCCTGTGGCCGGGTACTGCTGACGCGGACGCGATGGAGGAGGAGGACATGCTGCCGTCGGAACCGGCGCCCGCGCTCGCCGGGGCTCGCCTTCCAACGGATGGCGTCCACTGTTGTTGTGGTTCGCAAGGTCAGGGGTAGGGTTAGGAGGTCCACTGCAGTTCACAAGTACGGTTAGTTTAGGGTGAAGAAGTGGGAGGTCCACTGCTGTTGTTCTTGTTGTTCGAAAGGAGCAGGGATTGTAGTCAGGGCTGACAAGCAGATCACGGAACGGCGAGAGAGGGCAGATAAGAGGACAAGCAGGGCGGGGGCGTCAGGTCTTTCGAGAGATGGAGAGAGAGGTAGAGAGAGAGAGAGAGAGAGAGAGAGCTACGGGCGGTCACGGTCAGAGGAGGAGGGGAAAACCACACAACCGAGGAGGAGAGGAGGATAAGGCCTAGGAGGAGAAAGAAGACCCTCTCACACGAAGCACTCACGGCGCCCGCGTTGTCCACAGCCTCTCACACCAGGCAACAATGACGCTTTACACACCCACCTCTTGTCTACCGCCGTGACAAAGAAAAACAAGCTTCACTATTGCAGCCGTACACCATCATCTCTCGTTCTTCTTCTCATCTGATTGCCGCACACACACCTACCTCTGGTCTACTGCCGCGATGGAAAAAAAAGAGACGTGCTTCATAAACCAGCCGTACCACTATCATCTTATTGTCACCTGTCGCTGGTCCGCAGCAGAGCCGGCGCTGCTGTTGTCCGAGGAGCGCCGAGAGTGGTCCCCTATCGCCCGGAGGCCTCGCAGGGGGTGAGCCGCCGCCCCGACAGCAACGCCGGAGCTCGACGCCGGCGAAGAAGAGGAGTCCGGTGGTAGCCCGAGAGAGTCCATGGACTGGACGAACGACGCGCCGACGTCGCCGCTGCCGCCGCCCACGGACCCCGACGATATCTTCCCGTCCTGCGAAGAAGAAGATCTGAGAGGGAGGAGCGCAGGCGAGGGGAGATATTGGACATGTCGGAGATGTCGTGCGGATAGAATGTTATTTATACCTTGGACATAGCAGGGGATACGGAGTGGAGTGCCGCTGCCCGCGGACACATACGATATCTTCCCGTCCGGGGAAGAAGATCTGAAAGGTAGGAGTGCAGGCGAGGGGAGATATCGGAGATATCGGAGACATCGGAGATGTCGTGTGCACATAATAGCTTGGTTTTGGTAGAGGGGGTACGGAGTGGAGTGCCGCTACCCACGGGACACTGACGAGATATCCCGTCCGGGGAAGAAGAAGATCTGAAACGGGGGCGATGGGAGATGTCGGAGATGAAGTGAGATATTTAAGCTCGACTTCCCGTGCATATATGACCAAAACCCATCAACAAAAAACCGCGAAAAAACACTCTCAGGTCATCCATCTTCCCGTCCGGGGAAAAAGAAGATCTGAAATGGGGGCGATGGGAGATGTCGGAGATGTAGTGAGGATATTAAAGCTCGCCATAACGAGCATCTCAGCAAAAATCCATCAACACAAACCGCGAAAAAAACATACCACTCACAGATCATCCCTAGGGCCCCCCTTCAACCCCCCACTCTTCCTCCGGCCACCAGAGGCATCGACCGAAACTCCTGCCGGGCTCCTGTGATCGGGGCTCAGCACGTCAGCTTCCCCGTCCGACAGAAAGCCCGAGTCTAGGTCCATGGACGGCACGTTGGCCGCGGACAAAGAAGAGTTCGATGCACCACCGCTGCCTTTTCGCTTGAACGACAAGCTTCCCAGCCCCTTCTTGTGGTTAAGGTGATGGGCTCCGTCGTCCAAGTCTCTCCGGCCTAGAGGTGGGGGGGCCTGTAGAGATGAAAATGAGGGGGGGGGGGGGGGGGTTAGGGGGTC